GATCGCGCGCGCACCGAGTTGTTCAATGTCATAGCTTCTGATCATGAAAAGAGGTGCCCTGAAAAAGTTATAAAAATCTAAACACATGATATACTGTATACTATATATATGACATCATAACTACTTGTGATTTTTCTGGTACCACCCCGCGCGATCCTCACCTGTTTGTTTCACCAATAGAAAATATATAGCGACATTAGTATGAACTAACTATTAACACAGAGTCTAACTAGTATATTATTTCTGTGGTTTCACCTGACGTCACTGCAGCCTATGCGGACGCGCTGCAGTGTCAGAAGAACGAGAAGGTTGGTCAGGACGAACTCAGCAACATATACAGCTGCGCAGACGACAAGAGGTGCTGCTTGGTGGACGGTAACCCTGGCTGCTGTGTGAAGAGCACCGACACTGTCAGCGCCATGTACGTTACGTTATGTGCTATATTCACCAATATAAGAATGGTCTTTTCGTCGACGCGGTAGGCCATAATATACTGAAATAGACTACAGTATCCACGTACCGGGAGTTATGATTATAATATCACGACGCTTTAGTGCTATTCGCGCAGATCTGACTACCTAAATTTCGCGAGGAGGTGGAGAGAAGAGAAGGGGACGAGGGGGGTACATATAGGGACGAGAGGAGGTGGAAAGGGGAGGAGGGCGGTACAGAGTGACGAGAGGCGGCCGTGGATGCCGTGGAGGCAGGAGAAGCGGTGGGGACGATAAGTTGAGGAGGAGGGGAAGGTAGGGGAGGAAGTCAGGCGATGGTCGAGGTGGAGGTAGGTGAAAATGCGAAGGCAAGAGAGGAGGTAGCGGTAGGAGAAGAGGTAGATTCAGTGGATGCGGCGGAGGCAGGTTAGGATGTGTGAGAAAAAGGTGGTGCAATGTGAAGCGGTGTGACGTAGCGGAGGAGGTAAAGACGTACGGGGGATGGTCGCGCGGCAGGAGGCAGCATGAGGAGGATGACAGGTGTAGAAGGAGATGTATATATTATAAGGAGATGGAGGACGAGGAAAACAATGAATGCAGGGGGTAGAGATCCCAGAGGAAGGGGCTAGGATGAGCGTGCATGACGACGAAGATATGATAGAAACATAGGGGAAGAGACAAGGAGAGAGAGAGAGAGAGAGAGAAACGAGGAGAAGGAGAATGCCCCGAAGATATGTCATTGTTATATGTCATTGTCGGTTGTTTCTCGTGGACGTTCAGCCGTACGCTTGTGTATACATACATTTACATACTGATAAGCGTCGTACACAATAGACCATTACGTAATTTTGAAATTAACAAATTAATTTCAGGCTATGAGGTTTATTATAGGCTTCAGTCTATGATTATATACTTTCTGTCGGCAGAAACGAGCAGCTAACGATGTGGTTGGTCGTCATTGGCGTCGTTGTTGCCATAGCGATGCTGATCTACGTGCGTAACTCAGACTGCTGCGGCTGCTCGTCGGGAACCGACATGCCGACATGGTGCCGCAAGACCTGCTGTGGCTGCATAAATCCACCGCCTATACCTGACAGCAGGTGCATGCGCATGTTCTAATCTCCCAACTAGTTGCTATTGACCATGCAGTTGCTCGCGCGACTTTTGCGTTTACACTGCCGATTTTCGGTTGTGTAGTTGGGAAGTTGGTCCAATTCTCCAATTTGACAACATAATGTCGGTATTGTAAACCCAGCTTTAGACCGGACCTATTGCGCATATTTAGCCCGGGATAGCGTGTACACACCGCAGAATTTAGCGCGCGTCTGGCCCGGGCTAGTTTGCTGTATGATCAAATGATTGCGGTCTGTACGGGGTAATGAGCTTCTTGATTCATTTTGCGGAGAAACAAACGCTCAAAGTGTGAGCAGTTCGTATGATATGGGCGTAATAAGAGTATATAGGTGAACGATAGTAGCATATACAGGACCGTAGGCTGAGAAAATTCAAAATTTCATGACTCAACTGTGTAATGATGAGCGAGGGCGCAGCTCTTGATCGACGTCCATAGTGTGGTGGGGTTGGGCCTGAGACAAGGCTTTCACGGATAAGTGACTAAAAAAATCACGTTAGGGTTATTTACGTTTATTAATTAGCTCAGCTTTTTTTTAAACTTTGCAGCAAAATCTAGGGGGGCAGCTGCCCGACAGGCTACGGCCCTGATATATTAGGTGCGCAAATTAGAGGGCCTTTGTAACTGCTAGCAGGTGGGTTCCGTACACTCCGTAACGAAGTCCAGACGATTTTGGATGCAATGTACATAAGGGCGCCCTCGCAAAAGAACTAGTGCTTGTTCTCTTGACAGTTTTGTCAGTAATTGTGAGAGTCTCCGAGAATTTAAACTCGAGTCCGTGTAATAACTGGGATTCATGACCAGGGGACCATTGTCAGAAACATCGTTTAAACATGGTTAAATATGGTTAACCATGGTTAAGGACCATGCGACCAATTTTATTTCTGACAACGGGCCCCAGAATTCCACTATATACTGCCCACATATATACAATTAATCAGGAGTGTATAATAATAGATTTATTATTATACACTCCTTATTCAATTATACGTATCAATTTCATTTGCTTAATTGTGCAATTGTGCAATTTACATTTGCTTTGCTTGTTGATTCGCACAGTCGCGGCCACGAGAACCCGGTCTATACGGAAGCCGATGATGATGATTACGTAGCCGACCCACGATGTCTGAAGCAAGAATTGAACTCCAGTCGCGTGCACACAGCCGAACTAACGTGACAACACGCTTGCAGCCGGCTCTCTCGTGGGGCTAACTTAGCGCGCGCCGAGCCCGGACTAGTTTGATGTAGGATCAAATTTGCAGTCTGTACGGGGTATCTGCCCCCAGCACAAGTGAGACAGTTTGTCTGCGCAATGTACATCGAGGTGGTGTGTGTGTGGTAGACATAGCGGCCGTGACATGCTGGTAGACATGCTGTGTGGTAGACATAGTTTATAGCTGCCGTGACCGCTTGCTTGCAGGAGACTCAGCTAGCTATACCAGCACAACAGCAGTGAGGCAGTTCGTCTGCGCCACAGGCACTTGGAACGGGTTTCAATAGTAAAATGATGGTAAATAAACACAAAATGTATTTACTACCAAAGTCTTAATGTTTCTCTACTCGCTTTCGCCTATTATTGCCGATAATTTCCTGTAAATGCCGTTCAAATGCTTCTCTGCAACACACAAGTGCACCACCGCATGCACGCCGCTGTGCACAAACAATAAGACTAAAGACTTTATGAGCGCAGCGTGGTGGTGTATGGTAGACATAGTGTATGGCTAGCTGCCTCATGACCCACGACTGAATAGCGGGCTAAGTGCTCTGGTAGTACGTTTGTTTGTGTCGATTCAATTTCTATCACGGCAGCATTAATCGATGGTGCATAAAACACAGCTGCCACACACGCACGCACGCACGCACGCACGCACAAACGTACACACGCACACGCACGCACGCACGCACGCACGCACGCACGCACACACACACACACACACACACACACACACACATATATATATGTGGAGAACCTCTAGTAAGGGCATGAACCTCTG